CAAATAGTCTGTATTCAGTAGCTGAAGTTCATGGAAGAGTTCAATAAGAAAATGTGGACGAGATTCATTTTGAGAAATCAACGTAGCTACTTCAGAATAAATGGTATCCCGCAAAGCTTCAAACATGGAAAAATCACTCCCGGTTTCTGGAAGATATAAAAAGAGCAGGAAGTTAATATTGATGAAATACATTCCTATTTTTTTTAACTTGCAACATTACTCTCACCTTTAAACTACTTAAAACACAATTCTATTTCAGAGCTTCTAAGGTAGAATAAAAATCTTAAAATTACCAAGAAAAAAATAATCTTAAAAATATCAAGATATACACTAAATATTTACTAGAGAAATAACATTACCTAGCATTACTTAGAGCAAAGTTATTTCTCAATGGAAAATTTTACACATTTCATAGGAATAATCAGTGGAAATCTTTCAGCACTTGAATGAAATAAGCAAATTGCAAACAATTTTCTTTTTTTGCTAATATGAATTTTTTTACAGAAAAGGAAATTCGTTTACTTTGTTAATGTTGAGAACTAAATGCTGCCAAGGAAACATACTATTTTAAGGCTTATCTAGTTAGGTCTACTGATTCTCAAATCTCCACAATCATGCTGTATTGATGAAAAACTGAATTTGTAACTATAACAAAATAGGTCAATTTTACTACAGTGTCTTACTGACATACTCATTATAAGTTGGAGCAAGCAGTGAGGCTAATGAAGTTCTCAGTTTCACAGAATCTAGGCATCACTCTATTATTTAGCAACAATTCTGCTACATATATTTGTTTATAGCAAAGAATTATCACCCTTAAAGGTATACACTCATACCTTTACTTTTAAGAGCACAAATTAGGAACTGTTCCCATTTTGAGTTCTCCACGGAAAAAAAAAAAATTTTCCCGTGTTCTTCTAGCTATCAAATTCTGTAAACTTTCTAGAGTAATAGTAGAACCACAAGCAGCTAAATATTCAAGTTCTACAAAAATCAGTGATAAGTTTTCAAGAAAGAGAATTTGAAATGCTGAGTGTTTTAATATATTGTGCTTTCAAATAAACATGCAAAGATCATTAAGATTTTAAAAATTCACTTTTTGCGAGAGAAATTTTAAAAACGCAAAGCAAATGTGGTTTAATGAAAAAACTTTCCATTAATTTACTAGGCAAATTAACATCCTCAGGCCTCAATTTCCACAAGTATAAAATAATAAGGGTAATAAATATGCAACTTCCCTATCTTGCCTCAGACATTTATGAGTATAAAATGAAATAATATACTAAAATTCTCTTAGTAGTTTTAAAATGTTCAAATGTGCTATGTTACTATAAAAATATTTACTATGAGCAGGAACCAGAACTATCTCTGTAGGAAATCTCTATTTATAGGAAAAATCCAGGTAAGAAGATGGGATGTCACACAAACTTTCCCAATTTATATACTATATTGTAGTTTGATCAGTTGTTTCAGAAAAAGTTTTTTTATTTTAAAGATGTAAGAACAAAGCATATTTAATTACCTCTGTATGTGATAAAATTATCACTCTAAATTATATATCAGTAAAGATTAAATTATTCCCGAATAATAAATTATGCCAAACATATGCTTCATCCCTCCCACCTACAATAGAAAAGTGGAAAGTTTTTGCCAGTTTCTCCTTCTGGCCTAAAATGCATTAGTTTAGGCTAGAAAAATCCTTGATCTCAGCCAGATTTGTCTGACTCCATCTTGTTTTTATCCTACTTTCAGAGTTCTTTTCTTCTTTAGGAAGTACCACTGATACATTTAGCTTCCTCCATGCTAGGTCCTTGTTTTTTTTGTTTTCTTTAAATTCCCCTAGAGGTTCATACAGGCTTTTCTTTTTTACTCATGTATAGCACAGGAGGCATTAAAGAATATTTACAATTCTAAATCATACAGAACCACGTCTAAAGAAAATTCATAGTTTAAGGACAAAAATAGCATTCTGCAATTTTCCATGATCTTTATGTATCATGGTCTTTGCATGTCATAGTTGTTTTTGTTCAACGGTTTATTTTTTTATACATGTTGACTGGTAAGGAAAACTAAGAACTACAACAGAAGTCATACACAATACTTAACACTGTAAATCAGAGCTAAGAATAAAAGTAACTATATTTTTGTTTCCAAAAAATATGAATGCTCATAAGCATTTGAAGAATACAAGATAAATAACTTCAAATAAAACACTAAATTATAAAAACGTTTTCTATTATCTACATGAATGTGTTGGTTATGTTACATACACTAACAGAAAATGAAAATAAGAAAAGCAGCCAATTTTACTAACCAAGTAAAGAATTATAAATGAAAACCTTCAGAATTTAGTAAGTATGAATTCTTTCTCTTTTACCAGCCAAATAACACATACACACTAAACTAAATCTAAAAAATTAATTAGAACAATAAAACTAAGGATTTTTAGGACCAATGGAAGAATTAACAAAAAGTGGACACCAAAACTAAGCAGATTGTTACCTGGCGCTTCATTGCATGCATTTCTGTTAGACTGCTGTAGTATTCTCCTAGCATGTGCTGTAGGAAAGGGCAGACATAAGGATGAACATAAAATGTGTATGAATAGTAAAGACAGGGTCTGTAACATGAATAAATGAATGAAAAAAAGAAATAAGCAAATTTCTTTAAAATCGTTTGCCTGAACTGAAATGTTATCACAAGGTATGGTTTATGCTCTGTTTAAAAATAATCTCTCTTCAGGGAAAATATCAAAAGATCTGCTATGAACTTGTGTTAATGTGACTGATGATGACTATCATAATAAACTTCTACCATTCACTCTTAGAAGCATACACATCAAAGGGAACCCCCCACAACCCCCGAGGGAGAAGAGGACTGTATACAGTTCAATACTAGCAGCCGTATATGCTACAATCTAATGATCATATAACAAAAACTACCCTTACGTGCTATAAAGAATTTTAGGGTAATGGTTAAAACTATAACTGTCTTTTTAGAAAAGAGGAATATTTATATTATTCAAACATTTTTTTAGTTCACCAAAATTTGATGGTTATATGTTTCTAAGTGACAGTAATAAGATCTGAAGTACTATGACCAACTATCAATTATTTAGGTAACTGACATCTAAGTTAAGCCTATCAATTTAGTGCCTTTCTCCAACCTCCACCCAACTGTTTATTGTTTGAAGACATCAGTATTTGATAAAGATAGTGAAAGGAGATGGAAACTACAAAACTTTGGTAAAATGCTAGGGTCGGAACAACAGAATTGATATGTTTGACAAAAGGATCTTGGACTTAACAGGAGACCAGGAATGAAACTTCGGTTCTACCATCTGCTAGCAATACAACCTTGAGGAGGTCATTTCAAAATATGAATAAATGTGATGTTTCTTTTCTGATTACAAAAGTAATAAATACTCATTATAAGTTTTATAAAATATAGAGGAGTTTAAAGATAATAAAACCACTATTAACATTTTGATGCATTCTCTTCCAGCTTTTTTATCCAGATTTTTGTTTAAAATAGTTGGAATCATAATGTTCAGTCAACACCTAAATCCCAATTTCTTCTTTTCACTTTTGTTTCCTTAGGATGGATGCCTACAAGTACTGGGTTAAGGGCATGACATTTTTCCCAAAAAACTGTACCAGTCTATACTACTGGTCCTTTATGAGCACTGGGAAAAAACAGGCACCCCCTCTGATCATGTTTCCTCATCTGCAAAATGAAAATAAAATGAATTCAAAGGATTATGAGGCTCAAATGAGATGAGTAATTTGTTTACTTTGTAAACAGTAAAGCATACTACAAATGGTCACTACTGTTATCATTTTCACCAAGGGTCTTACTGACAACTGAAAATTTAGAGTCTATATTTACTGCCTCCCTCTCCATATTTCTTTGAGACGTACTTATTCTTTATAAATCAGGGACGTGCCAGTATTTACTTAAACTAAAATGGCGGCAAATACTTATGACTCCATTCATTCAATAAACACTCACTGAGTGCCCACCATGTGTCAGGTTCCATGCTAACATTTAAGATACAAATATGAAAAAATATTATCTACTGCCAAAGGAACCAAAAAGGTGATACAGACACTTAAACAAGTAAATACTACATAATGTGATACAGGCAACAAAAGAGGTTTACACAGGCTATGACAGAAAAACAAAAAGGAGAAAGGGTAACCTCTCCCAGCTTGGATTTGGATACAGTTCCAGAGCTGCAGAATTAAGATTTTACTTAAGAGCCAGCAGAGACAAAGGCCAACAAAGAGCAAAAAGGACTTGAGGCAGGAAGGACAACTGCTGAGGTAAGACAACTGCTGAGGTGGCTATGGGAAAACTTCAGTTTAGTGCCACTGAAAGAGTCAAGTTCAAGGCACAGGGTGTGAGAAATGAGTCTGGAGAGGCAGGAAGGAATCAAATCTCTGCTGGTCAGATATGTTACATTGAGGCATCTGGGCTTTCTCCTGCAGGCACGGTGAAGGCCAAAGATTTTAAGCAGGGGCACGATGTGATTTTATATCCAACTATTATTCAGATAATATTTTCAGAATTTCAAATTAGGAGTACCAAATTAATGTCAACTATACTTGTTCATTCAGAATTTTATCAAAATGCATCAAAAGATAGTATCACAATAACAATAAAATATATTTCCAGTTTACACTTCTTGACATCAAGAACTGTGTACTGTAAACTCTACTATAAAACCTTTCACATGATAGAAAAGTGTGATAGATGAATTTTAAGCTTGTTTTAATATAGCTTTTCAAATCTAAGATGAAGAAGTCCTTAAATTAAAACAAACCAAAAAAAGAACATACCTGAAGATATTTCTGTAGACCTACTATATCTTATTACTTTTTCCAGCTGCTCATGATTCTTTCTGCTGAATACTTTTGCTTGAACAGGCTCTTCAGTCTGGGCTGAATGTCTGTTCCTACTTTTGCAAGGTTCACATGTGCTAGACATACTGGCACTTTCATACCCTTGAGTAAAAAAAGTGACAACTGTTATCAGTTGCAACTAACTCAAACTGAAAGGGAAATTGATTTCCATAGTGAAACAGTATAGGCCACTCAATTTAGAATGCTGTGAAGGCCTGGTGTAACCAGAAATCAAAACAGTAAATAGTATGTTTCAGAAAAATCTTTGCGATAACCTTTGTAGGCATAGGATAACAGTAATAAATTCTAACACTTCATTGTCCTTCGATATTCATCTCAATGAATACATCCCAACTCAAACTACATGGTAGACCTTATATAACCCAAATTCTCTACTAGACTCCAAGCTAACAATTTTTCAGTATTAGGAAATACAAGAAAGAATCACATCTAATCTATATATGTCCATGATAGACAGAAGAATAAGGGGCATTAAATAATCAGATGTCTGCTTTTGTATACCTTTTGTTTAATATGACTTGGTATAAAGCCTTCCCCACCCATAGGTTATACATATATTCTATTAACTCTTCCAAGTTTTGGTATTAATCTTTTTTTCAGTTACTTTTCGGCATCTAGCACAAGGTAGGAATTCAACTTTATTTTGTTCCACGTGGATAGTTGGTTACACCTACCCTTTTCCCACTGAATTAAAATGCAACCTTGGTCAATATATTAAATCTCCACATTTATTGGGTTTTATTTCTGGGCATTCCATCTGTTTAACTTATCTATTCCAATGCCACAGAAGTTCTACACTATGTTTAAACACCTGGTAAGACAAGTCCTATCTAGCTTCTTTTCTTAGCTATTTTTGGACACTGGTCCTTCCACAGAAGTTTTGAGATCTTTTTCCCCCAATTTCAAAAACAATCCATGAGGATTCAAAATAGAAACACATTAAAAGTATTTATTAATTTGAGGAGAATTTACTTATTTTTAAATATTTATTTATATATTTATTTGGCTATGCCAGGTCTTAGCTGCAGCACGGGGGATCGTTGTTGCAGCGTGCAGAATCTTTAGTTGCAATTTTATAAATTCTAACTTAAGAACATAGTTATGCTTTTATATTTGCTTAATCTTGTTTCGTGTTCTTCAAAAAAATTTTTATAGATCTCGTACATTTCTTGTTAAATTTATTCCTAAGGATTTTTGGTCGCAGTAGCTTTGGATACTACTATGAAAAGAATACTCCCTGCCACTTCCATTTCTACTGGGTATTACTATGATAGAGAAAAATATTTACACACTTATTTCATAATCTTATTTCATAATTACTTTACTAACTTAGCTAACTTAGGTAGCTGTTTTCCAGTGTCTCTCGGGCTGGCTTAGAAAATATATAAAATTTGTTTCCCTCCTTTTCAAATATTTATTCCAATCATTTAATCTTGTCATAATACTTTCCAACCAATGCTAAATAATGATGGTGGTAGAGAGGGAATCCCTGTTAATTCCTAATTTTGATAGAGATATCTCTGGAGTATTTTCAATTACAATAGTGCCTGTAAGTGGCATCAGATAACAGCCTCTATTATATTTAAATAACTGCCTCCCTTTCTAGGTGCACTTTCATTAGGAATGATTTAAAATTTTATCTAACCTACCACTATGATTACATGACTTCTGTCCTGTAATGTGGTTGATATAATCAATTATGTTGACAGATTTCCTGAAAATAAATCACGATTACATTTCTGTGATAAACCCTGCTGACAACAGTCCAATACTCTTTTCATATACTGGCAGGTTCAATTTGCTAGTATTTTACTTTTGAATTTACATTAATAGCTGAGATTAAACTACTGCTTTCTTTACTGAACTGTTACCTCTCCTTTTCACCTTCCCTTATATAAAGGTCTCTATCTGATTCATATGTTGTCTCTATAGTTTTCTTCAGATAGGATACACCAGTATCTTTTTTCAGCTTGACAGGTGAAGAGTCTCTTGTCGGAGAGTAGGATTCTTGAGTTGTAGTCCCTTTTTGTCCACGAATGGATGTCATTTCACTTCTACTTTTTTAGGTTTTAAGTAAGACTGTCTGATGTCAATTTGTTTTTTTTCTTTATATGTAACTTGTCCTTCCAACCTGGAAGCTTAGAGGATTTTTACTTTTTCCTCGGAATCCAGGAACTGTATCAGTCTATACACAGGGGAGAAGGGGTATGTACTTTCTCTCCGTGCCTCCTGGCTGGGCAACAGTCAGCTATTTTGATCTGCGGTCTTGAGTCTTTCTTCATTAAAGATTCCCCTTTATTATTTGTTGAATTACTGCCTCTCCACTTTTTTTTTTCTCCTTTAGAACTCCTTGTATATCAGATCTCCAAGATTTGTCCTTAAGCCTCTAATCATTTCCCTCTTTATTTTATCTCTTAGTACTTTTTGCTCTGTGTAATGACATAGTTCTTCCCTTTAATTTTCTAGGCCAGTAATTTGGAACTTAATAGCATTTGTCCTCTTTTCAAATAATCTAAACATTAAATGTGAAAATCATTTTTTCTAGTTCTCAAGAATTTACGTTATAATTCAATCTGCTTTTTAAAAATAATTCAATCTGCTTAAGTATTCTTATCATTTTGCTCAAGTGAGTATTTCCTTCAATAATTCTGTTTTGACTAGATTTTACCTATTCTAGTGGTCTGCTTCCATGACTTCTGTCTGGCTGCTGGTCCCTTTTATGTGCACTGTTATGTTTACTGGGTTAGCCCCGACTCTTATCTACCCTTCAGGCTAGACCCGACTGCTGGGCAGCCTTAATGGCAGCACGCTGGCAGTGCTTGGGAGCCTCATGCCCATGGTGAAGCAATGGTCTGGCTGGCAAGCTGTCAGCCTCCCATCAAGACGATGAAGAAGGAAGCCTCTCGACCCCTCAGGCTCCTCAGCTGCAAAGGTAAATGCTTTACCGTGTTCAGGGTAGGTAGGATGCCGCCTCTTTTTTCAGTGACACCCTTTCCCATTAGTACTTTGAAGTGGCAAAAGACTGCTACTCTTGGAAGGGAGGGAAGCGCCCTCCCCGTGGAAGGAGGGGTTGCATGGATCTCCTCCAACCAAGTTTTCTCTAAAAACCACAGGGCTCTGATTTTTGCTCACTCTCTGAAAGAGCCAGCAGAACCTAAAGCCTTGCTGCTTATCTCTCTAGACCACAACGGCTGCTCTGTTAATAACAAATTAGTTCCCAATATACTGTCAAATTATTCTCTGTGATATCCTATCTGGATTCAACTTCCCTTTCTTTCTCTAAGGCCATCATTCAAGTTACGACTTCATCATCTCATGTATAGGTTCCTGATTTCTTTGTTGGTCTCTCAGACTCTCAAGCCACTCTCATTCAATCTGCATGAAACTTACCGGAAAAAGAGCCCTGTGGGTTACTTTGGACTACTACATAAAAAGCAATAAAAGGTACGATTGCCAAGAGTAATATGTAAAATGATATAAATGGTAGTACTATTGCTTATTTAATTAACAGCAAACATAGCTCTGAAGAAAATAAAGTATGTTATTCTAACAAGAACATTTATATAAATGAAATTAAGCTTCTAACTGCTGTTACTGAATCATGTGAAAAGTGCTGAATGGATTCTAATCAAAATTAAAATATATATTATGCAGCATACACAAAATTCTCTTTAGGGAGCCCCAGTAGTGAGGGGAAAAAAAAAAAATCAGTCATCTTCCAAAAGAGCTAAGACTGTGAAGAGAAGCATGCTATAATTTTTAAGATGCTATAAAAAGAGGGAAAAAAAAAACCCATGGTTTAACATGAGTCCCAATTTAAAAATATCAAGGGCTAGATTTCCAAAGTTAAGGTACTACTGTTGATTTGTTTCTCTTTGGGACACTTTAATAGTAATCCTCCAGGGAAAGTAGAAGATTTAATGAAAGTCAGTAATACTTCAGAGTAACACTGGCCAGGCCAGCTGATATAACAGCAACAATGACATATGATGGTCATTATTATAAGGGGGTTATCTTCTGTCTTTCTCAGCACAAGTGGCTGACAGAGCTCGAAGAAACAGTACTTCTAGTTGTGTCTCCAATACAGGGAAACAGCTCAGCCACAGCACCCTGGAGACCTTCCATGTACCTACACAGGCCACACTGGGAAGGACTGAGCCGTCGCTGAATCTAAGTCTTGGCGGAAGGCCTTATGATTTTCCTCTCTTTCCCCTGAAAGGCTGTCATGAGAGAACTTCTCATCTCCTCCTGGGCTCTGATGAAAACATGAGACCAGTTCGCCTCACCCCGAGGGTACATCTCCATTCTCGACTGTGGCTTAGCTACCGCACAGCATTGGCTCCTAGGCTACAGGGTGCCCCACCACTCATGATGCAACTATCATCTGGCCCCTTCTGTTTCAGCGTCGCCCTTGTGGTGAGTGGAATAAGGGACACAGGGAGCTGGCACCTTTGGCTACCCTTCCTTTCTCTGACTTCATTAAATAATAAACTCTGAATTTAAAATGGGCCACATCTGTCAGGGCTTATCTTGCCTAATGCGAGACATCCATTTTATCTCAATCTTCATTAGTGAGCAAGAAGAGTGGGGGAAGAAAGAAACGAAAAGATTCAGGGCTGGGTGGAACCCAGAAGTCAGTATACTAACAGTCCCATCCAATTTCCCAAGACAAGAATGAGGACCATCTAGACTATATGCTTCTACTCCTCTCTAATACCATCAAAAGAGGAAATGGGTCTGGTAGAGTGTAGCCAAATTATGGGTCTGTAAACCAAGTCATATGTCTGATAACTCAAGTACAAGAAGTCATGCTCAACTCATAAAGTCTGAATTTGAACTGAAGCTTAAAAGATAATTAGCACATAATTTGTAAAATCTTACTTTGCATGCAATAATATGTATCTTTATATATAAAGACCTTCTAAAGATTACCATCACTGGTACATTACCATCATGTGAAACAAAGTTAAATGAAGATTTAGCATGCTACTTCTGAAAGACTGTCAACATGTGCAAAAAACATAGAAACAGCTCAAATTTGGAACAGTATAACTGGCTGTACTATATCTTTTAAGACAGCAACTTAAGTCCCACTGTGCTGGCCTATTTGTCATATCCTATTTCCTTCCCCAGTTCTCTCATCTTCTCTTCTTGCTTCACCCTGACTCTATATTACTTTTCCTATTGTTACTACAATTTGGAATGCTTTCCAATCTTCCCTCCATCGACCTCCATTCCTACTTCCTTTAAGACAGAGTAAACATTCTTTCTTCTAAGAAATCATGGCTATTCCTATCCCACAAAGAGAACAAACACAACATAAATTAGTGGTCTAGCTCAGCACTTCTCAGACTTTAATGTGCATATATTCATATTAAAACATCAGGAATCTTGCTAATATGCAAACTGAAAAACAATGCGTACTGATTCAGTTGGTATAAGGTGGGGCCCAAGAGTCTGCATTTCTAATAAGCTCCCAGATGATGCGGATGCTGCCTGTCCATGGTTCACATTCTGCATAGCAAGGACTTAGCTCATTTGATTTTGCTACATATTATTTTGACGCTGCATATATTAGTTCGGTTCTGCTATCAGGTCTTTTACCTTTGTGTGTGCACCTTAAAGTGGAGCTCCCACTAACAGATGGTCTTAAAGCCCTTTTGAACAAAAGTGAATGTGCATTCTTGGCAAGTATTTTTATACTGAAGTATGAGAAAAGAGAGCAAATAGATCAGAATGTCAATCTTTGCCTTGAAGTAAAAGAAAAGCTGAATTGTATATCTGGAACCATAATTCTTCAGAATAAAGGGGTTTCAAAAATACAAATACACCAGGATTTCTAGGCTCAGGCAGACATGGCCATATGCTGGCTGAGTGCCCTCTGAGACCCTGCTACTCAAACTGTAGTCCACAGACTACACTGTCAATGCTGATCAACAACGCATGGGAGAACTTGTTAGAAATGCAGACTATCAGGTCCCTCCTCAGACTGATGGAATCAGACTCTGACTTTAAGCAAGATTCCCAAGGAGATTTGTATGAAACATTATCAAGTTCAAGACGCACTGCCCTAGCACACTCAAAATAACCAGCTGAATGAGAGAATGCTGGGATAACAAAGGTTAGTTTCTTTCCATTTACTCATATGACAAAAAGCATTTTGTTGGAGCAACTACGTTAAAAAGAAGTTCAGAGTTACCCCGAGGGCCTCTCTCAAAATGGTCACTATCTACTTAAATCCTCTCTAGTGGCACCAAGAGTGACCATGGAAAAGGCATCGTAGTTGTATTTTCATTCATTTGAATGGTTTCAGATCACTAATCTACTAAGTAATCAGCTCCTCCCAAACCTAAATAACTGAAAAATTATTTCAAGGATGATAATGTGTATGCTGAGAAAAATGTTACCCCTGTTCACGTTTGCTTGTTTAACCATGAAATCAGATTCTTTACATGGGAGTAGGAGTAGCAGCCCAGGACTTTAGGAAACATGAGGTACTGAAATGAAAAAAACCGTACATGTATTCTTTTTCACATCCATAGTTTTCATCAGATTTTTCAAGGGTTCCATTATCCAAAGATGGCTGAGATGAATGCTGCCAAAGCTTACAAGTGGATTTTAACTGCAGAGTGTCCCAGGACCTTTACTACACTTATAATGTACTGTGAGCTTCCAAGAGAGGAAGTTAGTAGGTGCAGTGAGTTTTCACAATTTTCTGATTATAAGCCTAGAATATTTTGCTCTTAAGCACCAAATACTATCTCCTTGAACGCAGAACGACCTTTCAAGGCCACAGCCAAAAAGTGTCCCTTGCAAACTGGAAGGAGCATCCTTTAACTATAATATTCCAGATTTTAGCTAGTAAATCAATTTTTAACCAGTGTTAGACTTCACTAAGTTCTTCAAAAATCATAAAAAATCTATTTTTTAAAGAAGTGGCATGCAGTGAACACTATAAAGAGAACTTTGATATTATACTCAATGACAAGATTCAATAAAATATGGATTAATGTTTTCTCCTATTAACTAAGGTTCAGTTCCTGAAGGACTAAGAGCAAACTTGTTCTAAAAGTGACTTCACCTACATGATATCCAAAGACTGCAGTGTAGTCAGAGGCCTGCATTTCTTTAAATGAATCCATCGCGGATCTAGCCAGAAGTCACCAATGAGGTCTTGCACGTAATATTAAACGAGAGAACAGTAAAAGTTCCGAGCTCATAGGAACCACATACATAGTAAGAAGTTTTAAGAAGCACAAAAAAGAATAAATGCCATGTTTTAAAATAGCTACACCATTAAACCCTATTTGATAAATTTTATTTAAAAAGTTCTCAAAGGTAACTAAAAATGACTTTGCTCAGGTGGGTCTACAACAGTGCCTCCTCAACAGCCACACCGAAATGATACACGCCAACATGTGAGAGTAAGCGTACCAACATTTATGCTGACCAAGTCAACAAATTTCAGTACTTACCAATATTTTTAACTCTGCTTTTCAGCTGAGTAGAATGCCTCTTCTTGCTCTTTGATTTGGGAGTTTTATCTTTAGATGCCAGGCTGGCCTGTGCAGATGCTTTTCTTGACTTGAATGTTTTAGTTACTGTTGTTGGATCTACTGGGTCAGGCATACTGCTAAAGCTTTCTAACGACTCTTCATCAAATTGGCGTCTTCTCCTACTGGTATCTAATTGATTTTTGCGATTACTATTTGTTGTTTTCTTCACAGACACTGCACATCCAGTCTTGAGAAATGGTTTTTCTACTTCACCTTCTTGGTCATATAACCATGGTGTCCTACTGTTCTCCACCTCCTCTTCCGGCTGTTTTTGATTCCTTACCAATGAAAATAAGTTTTTATATATTACAATGATATATTTCTATATCTACTGAAAACTCCAGATATACTTAATTTATAGTCTACTAGTAGATTCAGGTAAATAAAAACTGTCAACAGGCTATAAAAATATTCCCACAAAATACACATTAAAAATGAAAATGTTACACAGGCTAAGGTACTAAATTACTTTAAACTTTAATCTTAGACCTTTCTCACTAAACCATTTTCACTAGTGAGACTTCCAAACCAAAGGTCCAGCATTCATGATGGAAAGAGTGGGAAGGTAAGATCAAAGGAGGATGGGACATACAAGGAAAAAACAAAAAACTTAAAGAAACAACTGAAAGAGAATCACAGTAAAAAGTTTGGAAACACACATGGATCTGTGTCACCTAAAGCAGTTCAAATATAACCAGAATCTGGTGAAAACAATTGGCCATGTAACTAGTAATTTATTTCTCTGCACATTAAGTCTTATTTAGCTCTGTTAGCTTAGTGTCATTTTCCAAATTCTACCTGCTAAACTTTGGCACCCCTTAATATGTTAATAGGTATTCACTGGTTATCTAAATCTGGGAAAAAATACACAAAACAAAGTTAAACAGGTCTGCAGTACTTCTCAGAACTTTCAATATGCCAATGTGTTTTATAAATGTCTTCGAAGGGAACATAGTGAACATGCTGTCTGAAACTTTTTATTACAGAACCTGACATGGACAACAGAGTTCCTAAGAATATAATTTGGGAGACATTGATCTATAGGGATTAATTCAAGACAAAGATTAACAAACCTACAGTTTACATGCCAAATTCAGCTTGCTGCCTGTAGTTTTGTACGGCCTGAGAGCTATGAATGATCTTTATATTCTTAAATCGTTGAAAAAAATTAAAAGGAGAAATATAGTTTATGAGACATGAAAATTACATAAAATTCAAATTTCACTGTCTATAAATCAAGTGTTCTTGGAACACAGCAACTTATCTGTTTACATATTGTTTATAAATGCTTCTGTGCAAAAATGGCAGAGATAAATGGTTATGACAGACACTATGGCCTGCAATATTTACTACGTAGTCCTTTATAGGAAAAGTTTTCTGACCCGAGCTAACAACTACAATGTTTTATCTGACCTCTTTGTTATCTCCAGCCATTTAATTCAGGGAACCTATAATAGCTGAAATTTTGGAAAGAGATGAGGTCTAATCTGAAGTAGGTCTAATATCTAAAATAATAATACTCAGATGCATCTTTTTTTTTTTTTTACTACCAATTACATATAAACTATAGATAATAATGAAGTAGGGACCTTCCAATAGGAAGACCATTCACTAAAGCTTTGAATAAATTTTTATTGCTTGTGATGGAGATTCATTCAACCACCATTTCTCAATGTCAATTGAGCACTAATCACTGTTTTAGGCTCTGACAATAGAATACTTTCACAGAGTAACACAAGATTTAGTAGGAAAAAAAGGTTAGTGCAGATAAGAAAAGGAGTCAGGCAAGGTCAGGGAGGTCTACCACAGGATTCCTGGAGGTGAACACCGAGTTGAATTCTAAGAATTTTTGGTTA